GCTTCAGGTATTATACAACCTCTCTGAGCTTTAAAGTTTCCATCTATAAAATATGCCTTTGAGTGATAATTAGTAATCCATATATAATTCACTGCCCAATTAATTTACAGTCAGTGTTGAATAAATGCTGGATATTACTAACGTATTACTGCTTTGTTAAGTCCTACAACAATCTATGAAAGAGAAACTCATCTTGCTACTTCAGAGGTAAGAGGGCTCAAAGACATGAGGTAATGATCAAAGTCTTCAGCTCATAAATGTTCTATTCAGGCTTCAAACCCAGGTCTCCTCACTTTAAACTTCACGGCTCTTTCCATGATCTACACTGAGTGCTAAGATTCTAAGAGTTTCAGGACAATGGGAAGTTGAGGGTCTCTTTAGTCTTGAACTCTCCCTTTGTGTCTAAGAGGGATGGAAGGATAACCAATAGGAAAACGGCTGTAGTCATTTCTCAAGAACATCAATTGCCTAGGTTCTTGAAGGATATTCATTCTTCCTGAGGATTTTTTTAAAATATATTTTATTAATTTTTTACAGAGAGGAAGGGAGAGGGATAGAGAGTTAGAAACATTGATGAGAGAGAAACATCGATCAGCTGCCTCTTGCACACCCCCTACTGGGGATGTGCCCGAAACCAAGGTACATGCCCTTGACCAGAATCGAACCTGGGACCCTTCAGTCCGCAGACCGACACTCTATCCACTGAGCCAAACCGGTTAGAGCACTTCCTGAGGATCTTAATTAAGCACCAATAATCCTAGAAAATGTCCTCCTTCTATTGCCTGTATTTCCCCAAAGCTCAGACAGAGGAAGAAAGACAGTCATTAGCCAAAGCACATGACGGTGCCCCCATGGTCATCTGTGCCGACATTACCATTTTCCAGGTTCTCACTGCTTTCATAGCATCCTGAGTCTCGTGGGGAGCACCCGCTCAGGGCCTGGCTGTCAATGAGCAGCTTCTCCTGGGATCCAGACTGGTCGCTGTTACCTGGAGAAGGTGAGCACAAAGCATGGAACCATAAGGGGAATGAAAAGCAGAGTTCCCAAGTCAACCAAATCCCAGTTTTATCCTCAGCCATCACCACACATACCATACATTTTTAAGCCTTGGACTTTTGGAAGAACACTAATTACTTTAAAGTCAGTGAGATAAAAATGAACGAGATCAGAATATTTTTCTTTTCAAATAAATTATCAGATGAAGACAAATTTGGAGATTGAGAGTAGATAGTTGGAGTATGTGGATGCCTTTTAGGTTACCCAGACGATGACTGGCCTGAGGCCAGTCTCGAACAGGAGGAGCTCAGAGCCTTGTGCCAACAGTGAGGGAAGAGTAGTCACAGTCCTTTCCCAGGGATGGTCCCATGGGGCAGAAGCAAAGCGTGAGGATGTCCCTTTCACAGTAGCAGTTGGGCTTATGCTTTTTAGAAATCTCTAAGATTTGTGTTTCATTTGTCCCATGCTTTCCAAATTTAGCAGCTATTATAAAAGTGTCAAATGAAATATTGAATTTTGTTACAATTTACAAGCATTCTTGGGCCTCGGTGACATGTGCTGGCCCTTGCATTATCTCAATGAAGCAGGGGACGCAAACCCCTACGCCCAGGAGGGGCCAGGGAGAAATCCTTTTGTGTCTGGGATGAGGACTGAGCTAGAGGGCGTTCTTTCCCTTCTGCCTTCTCCCTTGTGTTGGGTCAGCATTTCTGCCCAAAGGACGAGGCAGGGAAAGCTCAGGAAGCCCTCTCCCTGGGGCCCTGAGTAATAAACACTCTGAAGGTGGATGATGAAAGTTGAACGTCCTGATTCTAAAGAAAGGCAGCAGGTGCTTCTGTTGAGTGAAAGTCTGTCTAGAGCAGCCGTGGGCAAACTACGACCCGCGGGCCGGATCCGGCCCGTTTGAAATGAATAAAACTAAAAAAAAAAGACCGTACCCTTTTATGTAATGATGTTTACTTTGAATTTATATTAGTTCACACAAACACTCCATCCATGCTTTTGTTCCGGCCCTCCGGTCCAGTTTAAGAACCCATTGTGGCCCTCGAGTCAAAAAGTTTGCCCACCCCTGGTCTAGAGCAGTGATGGCGAACCTATGACATGCGTGTCAGAGGTGACACGCGAACTCATTTTTTTAGTTGATTTTTCTTTGTTAAATGGCATTTAAATATATAAAATAAATATCAAAAATATAAGTCTTTGTTTTACTATGGTTGCAAATATCAAAAAATTTCTATATGTGACACGGCACCAGAGTTAAGTTAGGGTTTTTCAAAATGCTGACATGCCGAGCTCAAAAGGTTCGCCATCACTGGTCTAGAGTGAGTCCCGTGGGAAGTCCCGTGGGCTTCACCAGCCAGCGGTCACTCTGCACGCTGCACAATAAGGGCACGTGTGGCCTGACCTGGGATGGAGGCTACACCAAGAACCTCTTTTGTTATTACACAGAGTAAGTGCTTGGGCACATAACACAGAAACCAAGGGAACATTTTCTACATAAAAGAACTAGTTGCATGATGAAGGGCTTTATTTTCCCTTCCTTTTCTCGTCACTTGTCCTCCCCTCCTACCACAGACACAGAGAAAGAAAGAAATCAACAGACCAGAAATTTGATGCCCTTTCTCGGGTCATTAAAAAAGTAAATTGTGGGAAGGCAGAGGGCTGCCATCCCACATATGTGCCAGCCTCTTCTACATCCACTTACCACTTCCTGTTTGTGTTACTCACATGGAAAGCATTTTATAACAGCAATCATGGCAGAAACTATGGCAAGGGAAGCCCTTAAAATAGACCCCAAATTAAGGAGTGCTATTTTTTAAATAATGAATGAAAAACTAATTGGATGCACAAGAGCAAATCTTACGCCCCCCCCCTGCCCCGCACAAAAAGTGGAACATTCTAGAGTGATGTCCTCATTGTGTGGAAGAGTCTGTGGATTTGGAGAGGTCTCTGTCCTAGCCCAGCGTGTTATTTAGGAAAATGATACTTATAAAATGAGGGCTTTGAGCTATCAGTTACAACCCAGGAAGAGGAATCAATGTCATCTGTCCTTGGCAAGACAGTTCGGTTACTGCTTCAGCTAAAACAGACCCCAAAGTGCTGACCAGTGGGAATGAAACAGAAAACCTGTCCCCTGCCACTGCACGAAGACGCAGACTGTGTCTGCATCCTTGGGGATGGCAGCCTCCTCAGACACAGCAGGGTAGACCGAAGTTATCATGGGGACGGAAGGGGTCGCTCCCATCGCCTGAAAACCAGGTCCATTTGTAGAATCACGAGGCATATGTCAAGGGGCTGCTGTCACTTGCTTCCTAAAGGATTTTAGTCAGCAACTACTGAGCAGAAACCTAACTATCAAGTTTAGCAAAATTCCCTAAAACGAAAAGCCAGAGTTTCCCAAGCAACTTGCCTTCCTCCGTTGGAGAGAAAAAAGAGGTGGGGTACCCCTTACATGTGCAGCAGAATCAAGGCCATATCCTCTCCCTGCAGTTTCTATCATTAATTTCAAGGTACAAAGAGGAAAAGAGGTGTGTTAGAACCATGAGAATTCTCACAGTCAAACAAGAGGGGAGGACTACACCGTTGGGCTGACTTCTGAACTTGCCTCTGAAGGGACTTTGTTGGAGCTAAAACTCTTCCCCACTCCTACCCCCACCCCCACCTTTCACACACACACACACACACACACACACACACACACACACAAATATACACATACACACAGAAGGAGGAAGAATATGTTTGGATACTGATGAGTATCCAAACATCAGAAGGTTCTTGTGCACAAGGACATGAGCCATTTCCTGGAGAGCAGTTATCGCCGAAAGAAGAAGGGAAGGGAAGGGAATTGTTGGATAGCAGGCCTTTCAATGGGCTTGTACCGTTTATTTCTTTAAAAGAAAAGAATCGGAGCAAAATGTTCACTTGACTTGGACTTAGAAGGTGGATATGTGGATCTGTTTTACTTTTCTCTGTACCTTTCTGCATATTTGAAATAACTGCTCATTAAAATTCTTATAGGAATTATTTTCATAAAGAGAGCTTTCATTGGGCAGACCTGGGACAGTGGGAGCACTGTAGGCAATTGCTTTTGGACAATGAGAATCTTTTCCAAATGGAACCCGGTAGGAAGGCTGGCATTGCCCAGGCATGGGTGCAACAAGGCAGGTTGGTAGATGAGCTTTTTGCCACTGTGGAAGCTGAGCTAGAAACTTGCAAGATCTCTAAGACCTCAGTATATCTCTCTATCTGTCCAGTGATTAGGAATTTAGTTTGACATATATCTACTGTGTTCCTCTAATGGTCAGTTGCTTAGAATATTTCTTAAACACAGAATTTAACTGCACTGAATGTAAAACCTTATCATCTGGACCCAGAGCCTTGTCACTAATTAGCACCCCGAGTCCTGGAAGCCTTGTCTTAGAGCCAATAAAAGGAAGTGCTGCTTTATGCACTAGGACCGTGGTCAGCAAACCGCGGCTCGCGAGCCACATGCGGCTCTTTGGCCTTTTGAGAGAGGCCACGAAGTTTCAATCCCACTGTATGTGCGCGCCCGCATGTGGTATTTTGTGAAAGAGCCACACTCAAGGGGCCGCAGTTTGCCGACCACTGCACTAGGAATGTTATAAATAGAGGCACAGCATACCTTTGAAATGGGATCTGTAAAGCGGCAAAGAGCCCTCCCTTGACCTCTGAGTGAGCATCATGATTGGCAAAGATTCCCCTTTACAAAATACCTCCTGTGCAAATCTCAGGCTGGGGTTCCGAGAAGGACAAGGTGTCTGAGCCAATGAGACACAACAGAGACTCAGCTCAGATCCTGCCTTCTACTCCTTTTTTAACATTGCTTCTCCTGTTCTGAATGGTAAAGGACTGGGTTTATAAACCAGCTGTTCTCAGCAACTGAGGAAAAGCAAATGAGCTATTTTATAGAGCAGATGTGGTCCAGGAGACTGGATGATTTAACCTTAATTGTTCTTAATACAGCTGGTTGGCCACACCAGGCACTAGGCCAGGCTCTTTAACACAACCTGGCCACAGACACCTCCAATAGACACCTCCAATACTGAAGAGACATGGTTTTAAAGTGCTATTCACTACAAAACACTATTCCCTCCAAGCCTATCCCTGAAGGCAGTGTGTATATCTAGAGTTCAGACAGCTACTTGATGGTGTGTGGCCCCCTGTATCAGTTGGTGTAGAGGAGGGGCCTCCTACGCAGGAGTGAGAGTAACTGAGCGGAGACACGTGCGTCCTTGTCTCTGGGCCTGATGCCTTCAGTAATGTACAATTTTTCTCTTCCACCATTAACCATGGTATGGTGTGTCTTAACAACAGAAATGCTATTAGCTACTGACATCCCTAAGCAAAGCACTTGAAAGAAAATGCATTGGAATTCAGTAACTGGAAAGGATGCTCTGTTTGTGATGAATAATTTCAGGACTATTTTTGATGTCAGATTGAAGAATAAAAAGCGAGATAAGACTAGCTTAATGGAGCAAAGGATACAGCGTATTTAAACAGACTTCATAAAAGCTGCCAACCCGCTGAATTCTGTTCACGGGCTGTAAAAATGAGCTATTATTTTGGCCGAGCCCCTGCGATATGGGATTCTCTGGTCTACTAGTATGTATTCACTGCAGCCACTTCCTGCTTCTTTCACGGAAGCTGATGGATTTCATTTATTCATTAGACAACCTATTCAGCAAGAAAATAACTCCTTGTGTGCTCTGAGAAGTAATTCTCCCCACCTGCCAATCACTTTTGGGCCCAGGTTTCCCACCGACCTGCTGAAACCACACCTCCCAACAGTTCCTAACGTGACATCTACTGCATTTCTTAACAAAGCTGTGATTCAATTCTCAGTCACTTAGAGCAGCATTTTCCTCAACTAGTACCTAGAACAGTGATGGCGAACCTTTTGAGCTCGGCGTGTCAGCATTTTGAAAAACCCTAACTTAACTCTGGTGCCGTGTCACATATAGAAATTTTTTGGTATTTGCAACCATAGTAAAACAAAGACTTACATTTCTGATATTTATTTTATATATTTAAATGCCATTTAACAAAGAAAAATTAACCAAAAAAAATGAGTTCGCTTGTCACTGACCTAGAATCACGCCAGAAAAGACATCAGCAGTAAGGTTATCTTTTGCTCCCGCAGGAAAGTCTGCACTGGGAACTTATGTCTTTGTGTTTTTGATATAATACGAAATGGACTTTGGCTTTGGAAAGAGTAGGACCAAATGAGTGACTCCAGGGACCTAAGAACATGCTGGCTGCTTACGGGGGGCCTCTGGTGACTGAGTGCAATGATACAGCAAGGAACACTTCTGCCTGGGTGGTGGGTGGTGGGGGGGACTTACTGTCATACTCCTGCAGCAGCTCCACCGCTGTCAGGAGAACGGCTCTGTGTTCTGGGTCCCTGATGTTTAACTCATCCAAGTCCTCCTCCTCCAGGAGCTTAAAGGTGTCCAGATCCTCATATCCATTGAACAGGAAGGTGGGCATGTGCTCCTGTGAGGAAAGAACACAGAAGTGGGTCAGCAGGCTCAGCCACGTGATCCATGACCGCCAACCAGCCTCAAACCCCTAAACTTTTCCCATCGCTGTGGTTATACTAATTGAAAGAGTAGTACCACTTGTAAGCTCCCAGTCCTCTGGCTTGGTAGGCAGGTGGGGCGTTTCACCGATCTCGGGTTAAGAAGACCTGCACTGCAGGCTGAGACGGGTTCTCCTGGCTTACATTCTAATTGTGCCCTTGCTATGGGCCGATCTCTTTAACACCGCACAGTGCACAGTGGACAAGGCCATTTCAGTTACAGGCCTATTGAAATCCAACTCAGAAAGGCCTGTGACTTCCCCAGAAACAAGGCAGTTTTGCAAGGAGGAAAGAGAACTAGCACTGTAGCCACCACCCCCCCCCCCCCCGCCCCCACTACCACCACCAGATGCCGGAATGATATGGGAGAGGTTAGAGGAGCGAACACTCAGGGCCTCTGTGGAGCCCAGGGAGCGGAGACCTAAGGGCTTGTGCTCACTGCCCTTTCTGGTAGAAGTAGCTTCAGGCCCAAAGCATTTTAAAAACTGCTCTTGGGGGACTAATAGCAAATTTTGACCTGTGGCTTAGCTAACACCCACGACAGAGGTCAAGGGCAGCATTAGCATACAGACAACCGTTTCTGTAGAACAATGGCTACTCATCACAGTAATAGGCCACCCTATGGAGGACATGAGAGCACTCCCTCCCTCCCCTGAAAGTGTCCTCGCTTGCTTAGTTTAGAAGGAGAGGCAACATGTGACCAGAACAGGAGGGGACTGACTTTCAGGTTAATCCGGTCGAGGAGATCCTCCACGGACTTGGGCTGGGGTGGTCTTCCTTTTCTCTTCCTCCTGGTGGGGCGCTTGGGCTTCTCCTCTTCCTCGTTCAGCACGTCCACGTAGATGAACTTGAAGGTGCCCACCTTGTTGTTCAACAGGCCCATCCAGGTGCCCATGGGTGGTTTGCTGATTATATCAATGATGTCTCCTTTCTGGGACCCAGGAAACAAAGATCTTTCCATTAGGCACATTTCTAAGTATGAATCATGAATCGATGAGATGTATTCATCACCCAGATGTGGAAACACTACGAAGGCCAGAATCAGGGTCCCACAAGTCACATTATGAATGGGAGCTTGGGAGAGGGCCAGACGGAACACTCCTGACCGCGCTGGAATCCACACGGGCTGGAGGTCTCGTTCCCCCGCCCTCCCGAAGCACAGGCTGAAGTGTCTGTCTCCCAGTACTCATGGCTAGGTGGGAGGTACCTGGCTCTCTGACTGCCTAGCCACCATCCAGAGCTCCTACTGCTTAGAGAAAGAATTTCCCCCAAAATGCCAGTGGCAATCCCTGCTCTGTGACTGCCTCCTACACTGTGGAACTCCATCTGTCCCATTCAATACCACTGACCATACAGAGCAGGCAGGAAGGTCTCTTTAGCGAGAGAGCACAGAAACTGGATCCTGGAGGGCAACAGGAATTCTACAGGGAAGCTGAGGTCAGGGGTCTGGACCAGGAGGATGAGGTGGTGAGGACAGAGGATTAACACAAGCCCCGCCTCTGTCCCAAATGCTGGCTGGTTCTGTTTTGTTTTTCACTACAGAGGAGAGCAGCTTGTTAAGGTAGCCAAGACATTGGCCACTATGCACCACAGCAGCCCAGCATTCTACACAAGAACTGAGCTCCTCTTAAAGAACAAAGACCTCAGGTCTAAAGCCAGACAGAGACACACCTTGAGCTTGAGTGAGTCTGTGTCATAGGGACTGGGTGTGAAGTCAGTGTGCACCCTGGCGCGCCCACAGAAGGGGCCCCGGTAGGGGGGCTCCTCATCATCACCGTCTTCCGACTTGACACTTTCCCTGTTGCTGGTGGAGGAATCGGTGGTACTCACTGTCTGACCACCTGTATAGGAAACACAGGGAGAAGAAGGATAAATACAGTTGCCCCGCAGAGCAAAGCTGAAAGACACTGAAGAAGCTGCAGGTTAAGACACGAAGGGCAAAATCATGAGCCAAAACCATGTCAGGACCAGAGCAGGACCCAGTGATGAGGCCAGGGAGGATCTGAGTTTTCGCAATGCTATCCCTAATCAAGCCCCTAACTGCACAGGCAGGACTCCAGCAAGTTATCTTTATGATCTGGGAATGCAGGTGACATCACAAGTCCGGGAACATTGGGTCAGGCATAACATTTTTACCCCATCTTATGGATGAGGAAACAAACTCAGAAATGTCAAATAACTTGCCCAAGGCCAAGTGCTTTTAAAGTGGTGGATTTAAATATGCTCCCTTTCCTCACACCATTCTGACGA